AGAATAAAAAAGTTATAGGGATGAGCCACATTTGAGACCCACCCGATATAACTAAAGGAATAGATCTTTAGGTCACAGTGATTAATTCCTCCTCCCACTCATTCTACATTCTATATGGCTATATTATTATTGTAGGGGGATTGTTTGTTTTTTAGATTGTTGCACATTTATCCATAAAAATGAACTCTCCTTACATGTTAATTTTAGAGCAATGATTTTCCAGAAAATTGAAGTAAATTGCTAGTTAGAAACCTTGAGAGACTCTTCTTAAGCCTTTTTAGCTTACTTTAGAGACACCATGTACTATCACCCATAAATTTTACTCACGGATATTATTTTTGTACAATGTAGAAATATTTAAATTCATAGACGAAATCGACTAAAGCAATCCAACACGCGACTAAACCAAACATTGTCCCCGTTCATATCAACCTGTTCTCCATGAAAACCGCGTTTTTTATTAGTTTGTTTTCTCAACTCAGTAAATATACACATATCGAAATCGATCAACAAGAATTATCTCTCGCTTTTGCATATACAGGGTGATTCTAACAAATGGTAAATAAAAATGAAAAACTGGTTGGCACTATTGAAAAAGGACTGGGACAAGGTAACTCTCTACAAATTTAACACTGCATAGATATTCGAAAGATTCTTTTTTGGTATCTTAACTAATAATAATAATTTTAGAATCACTTAGCCTAGAATCACTATGTGACACTGCCTAAATCCGTTTAGATAGAGAAAAACTTTTACTAAAAATAAATACTTTTGTAAGTGAAGGGAAAATGTATCCCCGCAAAACGCAGCTGGTACACATGTTGTGGACCGTTGCGTTGCAATCCGCTAGCCACTACGTCGTCCAGTATCGTCTCTTCTAGGGCCATTTGCTGGTCGGTGGTCAGCGCAACTGGGTAATCCTTTGGCAGCACCGCCATTTTCACTTGTCCAGTAATACAATACCGGCAAAACTGGTGATACGTCCCTACTTGCCTCCCGGTGTTCGACGGCTTTCTATCTCGGCTTTTTTCTCTCTTTTACCGGAGCAGACTCGCTCCCTCCCTTATCCTTTGGTGGAGATGCGCCGGGCTGTTTCTTGGTTTCTTTACTCTCCCCTTTTTCAAGGAGTGTTTTCGCTTTTTCTTCCTCTGGAGCAAGTCCTTCGTGGAGCACTCGGAGGTATCTCCGTGCTTCTGCTCCGCTAAGCCCTACTCTCAGAGGATCGCCTAGCCCGCCTGGTTGACCCAGGCCGGCTAGACGAAACGGTAGCTTATGTCGCTTGCCGGGTCTAGCGGTAGGCTCTGCTCTCGACCCTTACTAGCTTGTGTGCCAATTATGGAGGATGGTCTCGTGCAAGTGTCGGCCGCCTCTCCTGCATAGTTCCCTTTGGGTTTGGTCCCTTGGAACTTTCATTGTTAATGTTTCCAGTGTCGCTAGGGGGTTTTTCTACAGCTTTACCGGTGGTGTTTTTAATACTAGATCTGATAGTGTTCCAACGAGTCGTTAGTGATAGTCCATTTTTGCAGAGCCCCGCATGTAAAAGTAAGGGGTAAATACAATGGTGCCCCATGATTGAGACCAGTAAAGGCTAGTCTTCTATCTAGCCCGCATCCCTTTGACCTAGTTCCGCCGTCGCCGTCGTGGATTTAGGTTTTTGGTAAGGTTTTTTCTTTTTGGTCCGGGCGGTTAAGCCAAGACCTCCCCACATCCTCTATCCGTGAGACATGGCCACAGACAGTAGAGGGTGCCTGGTATAATGAACAGGGTAGCCCAGTCCGGTATCGTTATATGTCTTGGTGCAATTCCCTGGCCACGACACTACAGCTAGGGACAATACCATGAGTGAGATGCTTCTTAGACTAAACCAAAGTGCTAGGGGGTTTGGCACCCTAGCACCTGACTAGGAGCTTCCCCACCAACGACAAGGTTTTGCATCTCCTAGGGAAATATGGGAGATGTTAAACTATGCGTTTTTGCCACAGCACCGGTACTCTGTATAGTTTATATGTGTGGCGCTGGTGCCATATGGCTAAAACGCACGCCTTTTTACTGCAACCGCAAAAAGGCGCACACCACTAAGATGTATAAGTTTCTGTTATCAACTATGAATTAATCTTATTCAAAATAAAGTTTTAATTTTACATTGGATACTGTAAGAAGTGTCTTAACAAAAATAAAACCGGAATCATCAACTAACAAGAAAAAGAATCCATCTACCAGGTACCTTGTGAGTGTGGTGAGTTGTGTATTGGAGAAACAAAACCTCCTCTAAATGAACGACTTAACGAACATAAAAAAACATACGCAAAGAGGTGAAACAATGAAGTCAGGTAATGAAAACCAAGTGTGTGCCAAGTACCACAATATAAAATGGTAGGGTAGCAAGCCCGTGTTATCCAGAATTAGCCTTATTGGAAAAAGTGAAAATTTAAAGAAGCCGTATTCTATATCTAGCAATTATAACTCTTTAGCCATGCTACTATGGAAATTTTCACAATATAGGAACTATTAATAAAACGTACCAATGTGGACATTCTTTGGGGACAACCTCACGCTTGATTGTAACCAACTTTTTCACGGGCAAATGCTCTGCTCTGGTGTATAAATTCAGTAGATTTATGACTTGATCACACATGATAACGGTCATAGGCCAGGGCAGTTGGGTGGAAAAATGGCCTTTAGGAAAAGTTTTTGCAATCAAGCTAATTTTTTCACAGATGATAGTCCCCATCAATAGTACTCTGTAAAAAAAGTTACACCTTCTAGGAGGCTTGCTTTTTCCGCCATGTTGATTAAAGATGGCCGACACAATATTTTTTTAAATATTGTAACTTTCTTATTTTTTAACCGATTTACCTCAAACAAACTCCATATTAAGGAGGAAGAGAAGTTAAAGAAAATTCTCTGAGAAAAAACTCTTGGGTACTTTTTGATGGTTATAGCGAAAAGTCCATTAAAGACGAGGAACATAGACATCAATCAAAAATTACACCTAGGGTTGAATTCCAGGAGAACACAATGTTGATCTTTTTCCAAGCAGACTTCGTGTCAAATACTTTCAACAAAGAAAGGTTTATATCTTACCTAGCCGACAAATTGAAAGAAAAGGGTATAAAAGTCACACATACAAAATCTGATTGTGATAGTATTGTTGCCTCAACCGCAATATCAGAATGTCAATTCCAAGATGTAGAGTCGTCTTCGTTAATGATACCTACTGATGTAATTGTAATGTTACTTTCCTTAGCAAAAAGTCTAACAACCAGCTATATATTTGGGACCCAGTACGAGTAAAGCTCTTGATAAATTTTTAAATATTTTCAAAATACAAAGCTTGATCTCGGAACAAATTCGCGAAAATCTTCTATGCATTCATGCATTTACAGGATGCGACACCACTTCGTACCCATATAAAATGGGTAAAAAAAGAATATTTGACGTGTTAAAAAACAGTCCTGAAATGTTTGATTTGATAAAAAGTTTCAATGCACTGAATATGAATAAACCTGCTTTAAGTGAAGTTGGGCAAAAACTTATATTAAAATTTTTTCCTCTCCAAAACTGTGAAAAACTGAACGATGCTAGACTTTATTGCTATCAAAAAATCACCTCCACATAAGGTTTGGGATCTAATTTTGATTTGACAAATCTTCTTCCCACATAGAAGACTCCAGTAATCAACATGTTTTTAGGGTATATTTACAGGTACAAAGCTGGAGAGGAAACAAGTTAGATCCATTTGGTGGTTTGCCAGTGGCAATGAGCTTTTCCCAGTGACTTACACCAAACTTCCAGGGCCCGAACACCTAATGGCAACTTTTTCTTGCAAATGCAAAGATCTTTGCACAGCAAACTGTTTTTGTGCTTCTTATAATCGCAAATGCAGTATTTTCTGTAAAAATGCAATCAAGCATGTCTAAATGCACCCAGAGTTGATTATGAAGAAGTGGAAATAAATAATGGTGAAGTGTAAATACAAATGTGAAAAAGTTATTATTATGTATTTGTAGTTAAAAGCTATTAAAAGTTGAATTTATACTTTTCGGTTGGAATAAAAAGAATTTCAGTGTTTATTATTATCTATTATTAAGAATAACAATTTCTTCTGTTTTTTTTTTAAATTAATTTTTAATATTTTTTTTAATTCATATGTTTAACCTAAAACCAAAGGCAACTGTTTTTATTTTATGTCAATCGAGCAAAAAATAAAGTATTTTTACATCCTGCATAAATTTTATTTTTGTATGTAACTTTGTATCCTTAAGGATACACTATATCTCCCGCACTACTCAACCTATCACAAACTTAAGGACTGTTTCAAAATCAGAACAAAAGAGTGCCTTTAACATTTTTGCTACGGAGTACGGTTCAAAAAAAAATTGAAGAAAAGCAAGTCGATTTCTTTTATTATTTTCACTTTTTTTTTATTTATGACAGAAAAGCAACCTGTCAAAATAGTTTTATATTTTTATTTCATTCTTTAGTCCAAAACAAAGGTAATGAGTTTTACTTGACGAAAATCAGTTAATAAATAAGAAAGTTACGATTTTTTAAAGAATAGGATCAGACACCATCTTTAATTCAACATGGCGGAGGAAGCAAGCGCTCTAGGAGGTGTAACTTTTTTTTACAGAGTACTGTTAATGAGTACTATCATCTGTGAAAAAAACAGCTTGATTGCAAAAACTTCCCCTATTTTTGCTAACTGCCCTGGCGTATCAGTGATAGGTACATCTGACCGAAACCCGTTGTGTACCGTCGTGTAAAAAAAACCTAAATAAAGGGAATGTCCGAAATTCTTTGAGTTTTAATGATAGAAAATGACAATGTTTCGGAAAAATTAGATTTTATGGTATCATATTCGCTTTTTTAAAAAATCTCCGAAGATCTAACATAGAAAAAATAAACCTTAGCCGCTTCCTTTTGGATACTATCTACCAATACTGAATCACCCTGTACGATTTCTTGCCCAACCAAACGTTTTCAGCTCTTCGAACATTCGAATTATTATTTGCTATTGAGATTCCGTAGCCGTCGAAGCACCATGTGGAACTACGCAGTTATTAGTGCCTTTCTTCTTCATGTTGTATGTTGTAGTGATAACCAGACGTATACTTTACGTAAGTTACACATTTTTCATACTTATTAATTGAAAATATTTTCCATTTTCTTTAAAAAACGACCAATTATTTTTAATGTACTGCAGTATCATAAACTGAAATCTTGCGGGAAAAGTGTTAGGAAGAAACTGTTACATAATTGTACATATAACAGTTGAAAGTTGAAAGCTTGTCTTTATGTTTTCATTTTTTTACTTTCTTCTATTTACATATTTACATATGCTGTTATTGCCTCTAAAATCAGCTTTACACTACTATAAAAGTGTTTGAAAACTTTAAATGGATATTTTAGAAAAATATCTTACGGTATCTCAGCCTTACAGTTTTACTATTATACCGTATGATCAAAAAGTTTTATGATCAAGGTGCTCTGACTCAGACAATTAAAAAACTACCGATATAAATTTTCATAAGCATTGTTTTTCTGTCATCGTACAAAGCACGCTTGCTCATAGCACATTGTATATTTTTCCCTTGTAATGTAAAAATTTTTATATACCGGGTGCGTCTCAAAAGTGGCTCACCCCACTCAGTTTTTTTATTTTTTCGGATAAAAAATCGAGATTAGATATGTATGTTGTAGGTATATGACATAAATTATGATTGATTGACGCATTTAATTGTTTTCGGTCACTTTCTGTTTCACCGGAAATAACTACAACTTTTGATTTTTAAATGACACTCTGAATAGAATGGCATATCATAATATGTCAACTTTTGACATTTTCGAATATGGTTTATCTGAAATTACAATTACAAGGGATTCATAACGACAATTTGACTCGAAATAGTTTGTGGTACCAAATGATTCGTAAAAAATGTTTTTTCGAAATATGCTAATGAGCCACTCTCGATCTATTTGAAAAAATTGAGATATGATTAAAAATATGATTTAGGCATCTTTTAACCGGCTAGGACAAGACACTAAAAATATTAGGCGATCAAATCTATTTTTCCAAGATTCCTTGATTAAAAATTAGTGTTTTTAACACCTAGATTGAAATTTAAAATACAAGGTACCTTGGTATACAAGGTACCTTGGTTACGCATCCCAACAATGCATCGAGGACCGTTTCATAGATAAATGCAACAAGTTTAGATTGGAAAGCCCGTAAAAATTTTAGGTCGCGAAATTATTTTGGGTCGCGACCGTTATACGCGATCTGGCGCTGCTATAGCGGTCGCTAATAACAACGGCAAACAAAAACAGAAATAATTTTCTCTTGTCAAAGTCAGAATCTTCAAAAATCATAATAATTTTCAAAATCTAAACCGCTCTCATTAAAGAAATTCCGAAAAGTGTTTATAGCGTTCATTTTCAAAGTAATTATTGCTATCTTGTGAGTTTAATTCAAGTTTTATTTACTCCAACCGGTGATAATTCTGAAAAAGTGGCATTAAAATGTGCTGTGAACTGTGAACTGCAAAAACCATCGTGGATCGTGGCATAACGCCGGCGTCGGTTTCCAATGTTTCATAGGTATTTCATACATGGGTCCTTATATAAAATAAAGTTTCTTGTATGCAACACACTGTATTTTATTTATAAAATTGAACGAAAATAATAATAAATTTGAATAAACAATATTTGGCGATATAATTCCGGAAAAAGCCGAACCGCTCCGAAATTTTCAAAAGTTTTGGGTCGCGACCGTTGCAAGAATAGCGCCAAATAGTGTTTACATTGTCCTTATGGGCACTTTCCAATCTAAACTTATTTCATTTATCTATGGACCGTTTCGCATGTCAACATATCAAATTCTGACGTATTTTTCTCCACTTATTTGTTCAAAATAATATCGAATAAAGGGTTTTCACCGATTAAAATCGTTATTAAGTCATACATATGAGTTGTAAATCAATGTTTTTTTAATGAAATGTTGCCAAAATCTCTCAGAATTAGTGATAAACGACAAAAAGAAAACCCAAAACGAAGCCGAAAAAATAATTGGGGTTAAACTGGTCTTGGGATTTAATCACTTATCTAAACAAAATTTATTCGAAAAATTAGATTAGCTGATTGGTCCATTTCACGATGAGTGAAATAATCAAGGATATAATTTAATAAATTTTGACATAAAAGCCTTTCTCTATATTAGACTCGGAGGCTTATTCAAAAAAGTGTTTTTAGGAAGGTTATAAACTTATTTGTCTGAAAACGTTTAAATTTTACCATTAGAAAGTTAACTGTTTATTGTTATTTGTTGTAATTATTATCAAAGGACACTCACTGTGTTTAGAATTAATGCACTATGTTTGTCTTTTGTAAATACATGTATTTCTAATTTAGGATAAATATATTTTAATAATATATTTGATTATGTCTTTATTTACTTTAAATAAAATTTGTAGCCGTTTGTGAAACAATACCCTAATAATATTAAATAAATTGTTAAGCTATATTCAAGAATATATCATTATATACCGTTATTTTTTTAATAACACTGATTTATGTATTATATTCCTTATGGATAATTCATATTTTAAAACATGATTTTATTTTAAGTGACTCTTAGTATGTGTTAATTTTAGGTTCTTTTAACTAGTTAAAAGATTACAGTTGGGGGTTGAAACTTGGAATCTTTGGTTTGGTTTTTGATCAGCAGATGGTTAAAGCTACATTCAGTTTTATTCATGTTGTTTGTTCAAATGTTAGTTTTAATCGTCTGCTGATAATGCGCTAACACGGTTAGCGAAACGCGCGTCCTGTGCAAAAGTAAAAGCGTTTTGTTGTATTGTGGTGATTTACTGTTATATTTTGTTGTAGTTAAAGGATATAAATCATTTACAGATTTTTCAATTAATATGTTTAGGGATAATATTATACAACATGAAAAATAGTTCACTTCATTTTCTTGGTGTTGCTCCAAGTCCAAGAGTCTTGTAAGGCTGGAACTTTTTAATAGATTTCTGCTAGAGGCAGTTGGGGGCACTACATAGAAAATCATTAAATAAATAGTATTTTTAGTAATTTAATGCAAATAAAACTATAAAGAAAGAATTAAAAAAAGTAAAAGCGTTTTGTTGTATTGTGGTGATTTACTGTTATATTTTGTTGTAGTTAAAGGATATAAATCATTTACAGATTTTTCAATTAATATGTTTAGGGATAATATTATACAACATGAAAAATAGTTCACTTCATTTTCTTGGTGTTGCTCCAAGTCCAAGAGTCTTGTAAGGCTGGGACTTTTTAATAGATTTCTGCTAGAGGCAGTTGAGGGCACTACATAGAAAATCATTAAATAAATAGTATTTTTAGTAATTTAATGCAAATAAAACTATAAAGAAAGAATTTATAAAAATATCTGCTAGATGAAAATTTTTTACTTTTAAATATATTATATTGACTCAGCATTTAGACACAAAATTTTATTCAAAGTACATACTCCAGAGTCGTTTGTAACCAAAGAAATTAATTATATCGTATTACTTGGTTGAATCTAAGGGGGGTATTGAGCCCCCGAAGCCCCCCCCCCCGTAATATGGAGGAAATTATCTGATAGCCACACACTCTGGTGGCCGCACTTCTTAAAATGTACATATTACCCACAAATTTAATATTGTATAAACTATATATACTAATTATTTATTAATAATAAATAAAGTAACGAGAGAGATAAAAATCAATGTCTGTAAATTTAATATATAAAATGTTATATTTTTAGCTTCATATATTAAGCCTTGCAACAGATCTGACCCAAACATTCATAAGTGTGTAGAAGTCAACATTGATGCTTTGAGACCTAATTTAAAAGAAGGCATCCCCTCATTGTTTATTCCAGCCCTAGACCCACTAATCATTCCACCAACTTGTGTAAATGAAGAGGATCAAGTAAAAGTCACTTTCAAGGTACTGTGTATAAATGAAATATCGTTTTATAATACAATATACTTGCATGCTGTTCAGATACATTTGACCTATTTGTATTATTATTATAACACTAATGTTTTTATTATTCGGTTAAACAATTGCATGTGAATATGGGATGTAGAATATTTAAGAGGGGAGTTAATCACCGTGACCTTACAGATCTATTGTGTCCCCCTTTCTTATTTCTTAATCATACAGTGATAATTAATCATACAGTGCGAATGAAATCAAGGGCTTTAACAAAAGCCAGTATCTGAGACGGCTCCACAGAGGCCAGTTCTCCATCCTCGACATCAGCCGTACCAAAGTTCATGGCACAAACGGTCGGCATCTCGGCGCACTCATTGATAAGGTGTTCTGGTATTTCTCCATTTTCCCCACAGAATCTGCATTCGCCGTTGTTTCTCAGCTTCAGCCTACTGAGGTGTTCGTTGAGGAGAAAGTTCCTGTTAGAAATCTAGTGACAATCCGAAGATTGTTTTTACTTAAATCAAGGAAAATCTTTGTTTTTTCTCGGTCGTAAGATCTGAGGAACTTCTTCGAGTGTCTTAGACCGTTGGATGACTCCCATTCCAGGTTACGGATGGAGTCTTCCAGGTTCCTCAGTTCCACCTTTAGTTAGTTTCCGCTTGGAAAACTGAACGGTTCTGGTCCAGTTAGTGGGAGTGTTCGCTAGCTAGATCATTTGCTTTTTTATTGTCTTCTATCCCTTGGTGAGCGGGCACTGAGAGTAGGAGGACTTTATTTTCTTTGCCTAATTTGTTCAGCTTCTCTAGGCATTCTTCTTCAATTTCGAATTAATGGAAAATCGCCTTTAGTGCTTCTTAACTATCGGATAAGATGGCTATTACCTGTTTTCGATAGTTCCTATCTAAGATAAATTGTACGCATCTTTCGATAGCGTACATTTCTGCCTGAAGGATGCTGGGGTAGGTGCCCATTGATTCGGAGTATTTAGTTTTCGGTCCAAATACTCCCTACTGTCCCTGCTTTGATTTTGAAAGCATCGTTGCGACTAACTACTGAAGAACTTGAAACAAAAGTCCTACCAATCACTTTGTCATTTTCTGTCTTGCATTTATGAATATGATTAGATAGTGTCATTGATATGCATATTGTATATTTATACAGGGTGGTCCGAACTGTATTCCGGAAACTTTAGAAGCATATTCTAAAGATAAAAATAAGTAAAAAAGTTTGTATAAATGTATGTTCTAAAATGCCTAGTTTCGGAGATACAGGGTGTAGAAATTTCATTTTTATTTCGATTTTTCTCAAATAATTTCTGAAGTAACGTCAATATTTGAATGAAAATTGGTGTCTGGGAGTTTTTTGACATGAGAAATTTGATTTTGATGTCATCATGACTGCTATTTCTAAGGGGCGCCCTCTACATGTATTTTAACTGTTTTGAAGAGTAATAACTTTTTGACCGTACCTGTATAAAACTACTGAGTGAAAAAATATACATTTCCGTGATTTTTTTACGTAAAACATGTTTCTTGGTAAAAATCGATTCGAGCAACCGTTCTCAAGATATTTAGAACAGAAATAGTCAATACATATCATTATTGACAAAAAATAAACACGTTGAGTAGATAGTTATTAGACTGAAATAATAAATTTGGGAAATTTTTATCTTTTTAAATTAATCATAAGTTTTTCTTTGACTTTTCTAATGACAATAAAACAGTTTCTGTTGAACTTTTGGCACAAAAATATTTCAAATTTATTGACTCTAAAAACTATTTAGTCAACATGTTTAATTTATGTCAAAGATGATAGGTATTTATAATTTCGATTCCAAATATGTCGATAACTATTACTCGTAGCGATTTTTACCAAGAGACCTTTGTTACGTAAAAAACGTCGTAAATGCACATTTTTTCACTCACTAGTTTTATATAGGTACGAACGAAAAATTATTACTCTTCAAAACAGTTAAAACACATGTAGGTGGCGCCCTCTACAAATAGCAGTTATATTGACATCAAAATCAAATTTCTCATGTCAAAAAACTCCCAGACACCAATTTTAAACCAAATACTGACGTTACTTCAGAAATTATCTGAGAAAAATCGAAATAAAAATTAAACTTCTACACCCTGTATCTCCGAAACAAAGCATTTTAGGACATACATTTAGACGAACTTTTTTACTTACTTTTAACTGCAGAATATGCTCCCGAAGTTTCCGGAATACAGTTCGGACCACCCTGTATATTAAGTATAATAGAAATAAAAGCAGGTCTCTTATTTTGTTATTAGCTATCGCCTTTTGAAATAATCTTGAAAAAATATCGATACTAGTTACAAAATACAAATCTGGTTGGGCATAAATTAAATAACGACCCTTTCACATTTTTAATTCAAAGTAAGAAACGTTTGACGGAATGTCGCAACTGGTCAAACTGGTATACCTAAACCGGGCGGCATTATGATATTAATCCTTTACTTTTTTTGTTTTAGGACATTCATATCTACCATGTTAACGATTTCACTTTGGACCAGTTCGATATCGATTTGGAGAACCACGAAGTTAATTTGACTATTAATTTCCCATTGCTAAGGATCAAATCTACGTATAACGTAAACGGAAAATTCTTGGTGGTCACATTTGATAAAAGCGGTCCAGCGGATGGAAATTATAGTGAGTATTACAAAATACACCAAAAAACTTTTATTTAATAAGTTCAGCTCCTTGTCAGAGATCTGTTAAGAAAGATTCTCCACTATATCAATGTTTCTCTGAAGTACATGTTTGTTATTAGAGCTTTTTACTTTTTTAAGCTTTTTATTTAAAATGGACATTTTCTTAAAAAAATTGAATTGATAACCACATACATATTTTCTCGAAAAAAAAGACCAACATTTTTTGTACTCTACATTATTGAGGTTATAAGCAGAGCTGCAACAAGTCAGTTTTAAAAAGACGTCTTAAGTCATTTCTAAAATCAAAATGATTTAAGTCTTAAGTCAAATTCAACATAAAGTTCATATGATTTAAGTCTTTGACTTAAATCATTTGAACATGTAATTAACACGTAAAAAATATTTTTCCATTAAAAGTACCATAACTTTGAAAAGGTATACGATAAAAAAAATTACATCTCGGATTATTGTAGAGCATAAAATTTACTAAAAAATCTATCTCAGAGTAATTTTTTTCAATTCAATAATTCGTCTATTTGAAAGCTTTGAAAAGTGAAAAAATGCAGGTTTAGTGTCTATTTAGTGGTTTTTGTTAGATATATGTGTTCAGCAGTTCTTGTAATTGCTGTAACGTTTTTGCAACTAGAACGCAGTCATCAGTGTATTGTGAAGTTCTGTGATGAATTTTGTATATGTTTTTGCTGTGAGTCCTTTTATGTTGAACAGGCCGCCATCGTATCCTCTTTCCTACAGTTTGATGTCCACTATAATGGAGAGCGCTGCCATGAATATGTTGAATATGAGAGGCGCTAAGACACATCCCTGCCTAACTCCTGTATTTGTCAGGAAGGGATCGCTCAGTGATCCATGATGTGACACTCTTGACTTGTTATTGTTATGGAGGCTTTTACATACTGTAAGACATTTGTTGCGAACTCCGAACTTTTTCATAATTGCCCAAAGTGGATCTCTGTTACGACTCGATAAAAAACTTTGATAATTAGTTGTGGTTTACCCATAAGTACTACCACCATTTTAAAAATATTCTCTACCTACTACTACTACTACTACTATTGATTAGAATTTTCAGATTTTTACTAAATGTATTATTTGTTATATCAGTCTAAGTAATTTCCTAGTAAGAAAAAGCGGTTATATATACATTTGAAACCTTAAAAATGTAAATCAACAACCGCTTTTTATTTGGCTAGCGACATCTGCATAATGAACATTATATAAATATATTTTTTATAGACTTACATCTGAAAATTTAAAGTATCATAAATATTTATTATTAGAAACGTAACCGAAAAATCTCATAATAATGAAGCGATTTAAATTTAAAATTTATTTAATGTGTCTAAAATATTCTTATTCTTTTTGATGGTTGTAAGTAATAAAAGAAGGTAATAAGGTAAATATCTTAAAAAATGTGATTATTTTCCGCTAATTTATTAAAGTAGTTGGTATCGGAAAGAATAAGGTATATTTATTACAACACATGCAAACTTATATTTATAGTTTAGGTTTTCCCGTTTTGTGAATAAAGTAATGGCAACAGAAAATTAAATATTTAAGTCAAAAATTATCAACCAGCAAAACTAAGACGACTCATTAAATCTGATTAGTAATATCTGATAATTACAAATTATAATTTAGAATTAGATAAACCGGTGTATCGGGTTCATTTCAGACTTCGGGAAATTACACGAAATTTCCCAAACAACACAATTTACAAATAAAATAACTACTCTCTATGTTAAAATATCAGGAGAAAATTGACTGGGACAAATTTCGGCTTAGCATAAACATTAAATAGATTTTATTAGATATCCGTTTTATCTTATGTTACAAAAATCCAGTTGGGATGGAATTTTTGGTGTTAGTATAGCAAAATAAAACACCATTTCACCCATAATGTACCGTATATAATTCTTCGCACATAGCGAAATTCGCGTACAGTTAAGTGTGTTGATGTATTATGGTGAACTAGAGTTTTATTTTCCAACATAGGTATAGATATCGAAACTAAAAGAATTTTGGACTTCCATTGTTTTTATTTATTCTCCTTACACAACATTTCGATCAGAAGTATCACTGACCGTTATCAAGTGTGAACTAATCTAAATTCTAAAACTACTGAGCTTGGTTTAGCCTATACTAGAGCCCTTCGCGTCTATATCCCACACCTATTCGTATATATTTTGCACGATAGTTTGACTATTTTTTTTGCATTTTTTGTATTTATTGTATACCTATTGTACCGAATAGGTGTGGGATATATATGTTACGGTTAAGGTCCAATGTCGACATCACCCCCGGTTAATCTCGAGAATAATACACAACAAAACAACCAAAAACATAACCTAACCCAAACATTAACATGTTAATGTCGACATTAACCGGACATCGGACTTTAACCGTAACAGATCTATTTGTATGTATACACGAGTTACTAGAGCCTAGCATTCACCTGTGAAATTAATTGGGTGCAGTTAAGTTAATTGGGTGTAGTTAACTAAGAATATCTCTGTATTGGAGCGTTTTATGAGTTTTATAATTATTTTTATAATCATTTTATAAGTATGTGAAAGTATGAAATATGAATGTTGATATGAATACGGCCACTTTAAATTTGCGCTTTTTCTAGTGAGGTTCTTTGTGGACAACCCGGGCTTCCGACCATTTTATGTTGTGGTGCTTGGACCACATATACAGGGTGAGTTTCCTACGATGTTCTCTATGGGTATCTCGGAAACTACTGGAGATAGAGAGGCGGTTAAATGGGGAAAGGATTGCAGTTTTGTGGGGTCATAAATATGCGCCTTTCAGATTTTTGAAAAAGTTCATGGCTTACTAGATATTTCGAAAAAAACAAATTTTGGCTGTTTTAAAAATTGTCCCTAATTCATTATAATCTATTTTAGACAAAAGGTTTTCAGATAAAATTTGTAGATAATCAATATATCGTTGAAAAGCTTAAAAAATGGCGCTTCTTATGAAGTCATGGCCAACTGTGGTTTCCATTTAAAAAACATATGTTTGTGTCATATGTCAAAAATGACAGACTTGAGAAAAAATCGAAGAACACAAACTCATTAGAGATGTGATTATCTACAACTTTTATCTGAAAACTTTCTGTCTAAAATAGATTATAATAGGAATATGAACAATTTTTTAAATAGCCAAAATTTGTTTTTTTTGGAAATATCTAAGCTATGAACTTTTTCAAAAATCTGAAAGGCGCATATTTATGACCCCACAAAACTGCAATCCTTTCCCCATTTAACCGACTCTCTATCTCCAGTAGTTTCCGAGATACCCATAGAGAACATCGTAGGAAACTCACCCTGTATGTAATCTGCAATGCCCGATTTAATTAAGTCGTACATGTAGAGGACGTCTCTCCAATATACGACTCACCGTACTCGCAAAAGGTACCTGGTGGATGCACTTCCTTTCTTGTTTTGATGATTCCGGTATTGTTTGGTTCCGGTTGGTACTTCTCTGTGCAGTTCCGGACTTAAAAACAGTTTGAATTTTATTCTGTTTGGCTATTCGCCTGATCTTTTCCGATGTTCCTTTCCCATATGGAATCGTCGATGAGAGAGAGAGTATTCTCCTCAGGCACCAATGAGTCAGATTTGCAGTTGGATATAATATTGTAGAGGGATTTTGCACAGTAAAGAACCCTATTGTAAAAAGCGCAACTTTAACTTTATTCATATCTAACAATAATAAAATCGTTAATAATCCAAGTATGGAAATCAACAATTTATAACCACTCATAAAACGTTCCAATGTAGGTATTCTTAGTGGACAGTGGCTCTAGTATATTAAGCTCAGTAGTTTAAGGATTTAGATTAGTTCACACTTGATAACGGTCAGTGATACTTCTGAGCGAAACGTTGTGTAAGCAAAATAAACAAAGAATGGAAGTCCGAAATTCTTTTAGTTTCAATACTGAATCATTGTCTATCACATTCAAAGTAACATATATGTAGATTATCAGGAATCAGGATATTACTTTATACATGGTGGTACCCAAATCGGTGCACAAGCTACCATCAGATTTTTTTGTCGAAAAAAAATTCTGTTTAAAAGACGTTCAAAACTCTGGTTCATCAAAACTCATGTTTTCCATTAATCGATATCGAATAACTCAACGTGGGCCTAAGCGAAGAACTTTAAATGATGCACTGTATATTGTTTACACAAAAGCGTCTGGTCTCGTTCTCATGATCGATTTTATCTAAGAAAATGTTAATAATATTGGTTCTAGAAAACTGACTTTTGTTCAGATTATTACAAACTATATCTCGCTTTATATCTTTTCAAATAATTATGCTAAATTTACAGGAGTCTCTGAAGATCTCTAAACATATTTTACGCATTGTTAAAATGCAGTTTATGCTAAATTAATCCACTTTATAAAAATTGAAATTAACTTTTAAAACTTAAAGTATATTGAAGTTATAATCAATTCTAATTCAATTACATTTTTTAGCGAATTTCCGAATTTACTTGGGACTAAAAGGAACTCCTTACCTTGAAAACGACAAAGAACATCTTAAATGGGAGAAGGAAACTATCAATACGACAGTAGGTGAATCGCACGTTATCTTGGAGAAGCTGTTCGGAAATCATACGGATATAGCAGACAAGACTAATAAGGTTCTCAACGAAAATATCGAAACTATTATCAACGATCTTCAACCAGTTATCCAGCGTGTAGTTAGTGATTTTATTTTTGGTATAGTAAACAAATTGTTTTCAAATTATTCAGTGAAAGAATTATTTGTGTCTGATTAATTTTACTTCTTTACTTACTCTTTATATTTTAATAAAGTTATATATAGTTTTTTTATTTATAGAGTTTAATTTTTTAATGACTGAAGAAATCAAAATATATCACAAGCTAGCATAATATATACAGGGTGCGCCACTGAAAACTTACAATGGCTATAATTTTTAAACCAAAAAAGATATCAAAAAAATAAAAAATACCGTTTCTATAATATCGAGGGGGAATACATATGACGTATTTTTTGAACCACCCCGACCTACCCCTTAAGCGGCACCCCTACTCACTTGAAAATCTTAAATTGCAACACCCCACTTGTGGCGCCTTTTTGGAAAGCCCATGAAAAATACTAAACGATGATCATAAAGTTTTTAGGGTGAAATCGAAAAACTACCCCTTACACGTAAAATTAGGTGGACATTAAGTAATTTTTTCAGCATAAGATACAAATTGGGACCCAGCTAAATGAGGCAAATGATGTATTTTTCAAACTACCCCGACCCACCCCTAGGTGCCACCCCCTCACTTTTAATCTCATCAATGCCATTTTGAAACCATTGTCATTTTAAAGCTAAAAATAAAAAATGTAGATAATAAAGCCTAAAATCTACAGCCTAATTTTGGGATAACACAAATTCTTCCTTATCATCTATTTTTTACTATCAACAAACAGGAATCTTAAAACGGTATATCTTTGCGTTTTTGCACTGTCTTTTATCGACTTTCAATCGTTTGCAAATTTGGTGGTATTTTAAACCTTTATTTAATTCGCCTATTTGAAAGAAAAATGGTTTATACTGTGGAAGAAAGAATTCATATAGTTTTTCTTTATGGTGTCACTTTTATGTTAGAGATTTGTGAGATCGGTCAAAAATAAATAATATCAGGGCCCAGGATATTGAATGAAGGCTGATGGAAGTTATTGGTCAGGTATCGGTCAATCCAGAAGCATCAACATGCCAGATGGTATCAATCACAGGTATACCTCGAACATCTATCAGAAGAGTATTGAAAATGCACAAATTCCATCCCTACAAAATGAAGATTCTGCAGGAACTTGGCGACGACGATCCAGATAGAAGGATTCAGTTCTGTGAACTAATGACGGAGGAAATTCGAAGGGAACCTTCACTAACTAAAATATTTGTTTTAGTGATGAGTGCTCATTTTTTTAAACGGAAATGTGAATAAGCAGAACTGCAGATACTGGAGCGATGAGAATCCGCATATTGTTGTTGAAAGACACACCCAACATCCCCAAAAGCTCAATGTTTAGTTCGGAATACTAGGCGATAAAATTATAGGTCCATTTTTCATCGACGGAAATTTGACTGGTGATGCTTATGTGGAAATGCTAAACACTGATAGAGCCAGCCATTGTAAATGAGGTTGAAAATCAAAGAGATTTGGAAGGAAATTTAACTCTTAATGAAGACCTCATACACTTTCAGCAAGATAGAGCCCCACCGCATTATTCTATTGTCACAAGGCGGTGGTTGGATAGATATTATCCAAGGCAATGGATTGGCAGAAGGGGTCCAATCTAGTGGCCGCCAAGGTCACCTGATCCCACTCCTTTAGACGTTTTCTTAAGGGGTTACACTAAATCCATAGTCTACAAGACAAAACCAGATTCGTTGCAAGAATTGCCGCAGAGGATAACTGAAGCATGTCGAAATATTCCGAGAGGGACTTTCCAAAGAGTGAGAGAAGAATTTGAAAATCGTTTGTATTTTTGTATGGAACAAAACGGCTGTCATTTTGAGCAATTGTTAAAATAAATTATCATTTTAAATTTCTTTCAAATTGTCACACCTACATTTTTTATCACTTCTTCTTACAGTGCCATACTCTATATAGAGCGTCGGCTACCTCTCGCATGTACTTGTGATGTGTGTCATCAGTGTTTCACAAGTGTACGGGACCTACAGTTTATTGCCGAATCCGAACGGCACAATTTGAGAGACTGAACAAGGCAAATATACTTAGGTGGTTTGCCATTGCCTTCCTTAAGGTGGCGGTTCGTTGGTCGCTCTATTTAGATAAATAAATATTTTTAATTAAATAAATAAAGCGACCGTACTGGCTGGGGATCGAACCCAGTACCTTCCGATTCGCAGATCGACATAAAATCGACATAAACCCTGGGGCTACGGCCGGCCACTTCTTATCACTACTTACCAGTAATTAAGTTGAAGTCTGTATGACTATCGTTTAGCAATTTCAATTAGCTTTCAAAAGAAGTGTCACAAGTGGGGTATCGCTATCTTGAGATTAGAACTGAGGGGGTGGCACCTAGGGGTGTGTCGGGGTGGTTTAAAAAATACCTAATTTACCTCATTTAGCTGGGTCCCAATTTGTAACTTGTGCTGAAAAAATCACTTTTTTCATTAATGTCCACCTAATGTTTCGTGTATGGGGTAGATTTTCAATTTCACCCTAAAAACTTTATGATCATCGTTTAGCATTTTTCATGGGCTTTCCAAAAAGGCGCCACAAGTGGGGTGTTGCCATTTAAGATTTTCAAGTGAGTAGGGGTGCCGCCTAAGGGGTAGGTCGGCGTGGGTTAAAAAATACGTCATATATGTATTCTCCTTCGATATTATACTCGTAGAAACGGTATTTTTTATTTTTTTGATATCTTTTTTGGTTTAAAAATTATAGCCATTGTAAGTTTTCAGTGGCCCACCCTGTATATAAGTTAGCTTGTGATATACATTTCAACAGACTAAAGCGTATAGAATTAATTTTCGGGGGAATGTACAGAAGAGACGCCAGACTTATAAGAGACTCACATTCAGGGAACTCTATAGGAGAAGAAGTTGCTTTTAAATTCATGATTCAAATATTAATCATAAACAATATAGCTTCCAAGTCGATGGCAAAATTTCTTGTAATATATTTTGACTCTAGCTTATTATGGTTACAGCACGGCATATAATCGACGAGTAGCGACATAAACCGTCGGCTCTTTTGGCAGCAGGTGGGACCAAATTTTCTTTCTGTCTCTTTTGACGTGTTTGACAGATAAACTACTTATTTAACTGCTGAACTTATGAAGTGGTCCTATAAACATGGTATACACTGCTCATAATTTGAAGTGGAATTAATTATAAAGTTTTAAACATATTTTTTTGTTTTGTTTAATCCTTATATCTAAATTTGAATGTATAAAATATCTTACAGTTAATAAATAATTAAAAAAATTATTTGTTGCCTGAGGCATACTTGAAATAGAGTATATAGAGATACTTGATAAATGGCAACAGTGGCAACTTCGCTTCTTCATATGACAGATAGACTAATTATTTCACGCAGCCGTAAAGAAAATTGAAAACCGGACTGTCGCTACTCGTCGGTTTATATATATATGGACCAATCGCGTGCAAACATGTAGTGTCACTGGAAATAAATAGAACACCCTGTATATTATTGTATTTTTACCTTCCTGTCAGATCACTTCACATAATCCTAAGATATGTGTAAATATGTTTCGATTAGTTTCCGATATATTAATAAATAAATAAAAAAAAATATATTTTTCAACCATCCTTAAAAAAAATATTACAAATACAAGAACTGTTTTGAAATCAAAACTAAATTAGCTATTTACTTCAGATGGTCTATACTTACTTTGCTATAAATATCGTAATCTTAAATCACACAGGATGTTCAAAATTCTACGCCAAACTTTCTAAAATATAAAATAATTTTTCTTTGTTTTTTTAAATAGAACACCCTGTATATTATATTTTTAATAGATGGAGAATTACAAAATTAACATTCTTTGTATTTAAAGTAGTTCAACATTTTTTACGGTTTTTCAGATATTCGCGGTTTTATATTTCATATCGCATTTTCCGCATCAATTTTTTATGAAACCCACCCAATGATTTTTCTCTCGTATTTTACCGTTGAAAGAGCCATATGAAATAATATCGCTAGTATCTGCGAAACCGTTGAAATAATCTAAATACAAAAAATGTTAATTTTTTAATTCTCCATCTAATAAAAAAATTATATACAGGGTGTTCCATTTAAAAATACGAGGAAAAATTAATTTATATTTTAAAAAGTTTGGCGTAGAATTTTGAACACCCTGTGTGATTTAAGTTTGCGATATTTATAGCAAAGTAAGTATAGATCATCTGAAGTAAATACCTAATATATTTTTGACTTCAGGGCAGTTCTTGTATTTGTAATAACTAATAATGATTTTAAGAAAGGCTGAAAAATATATATTGTTCAATTATTTATTAATATCTCTGCAACTATCGAAAAATATTTACTCATAGGTACTTTAGGATTATGTAGATTGATCTGAAAGAAAACCAAAAATACAATAATATACAGAATGCTCCATTAAAAAAACATCCCAATCCACTCTTTTGAATTCGCTTTTTTGAGCCACCCTATAGAAGTTAAAATATTTTCCCGCAATACATTCTAGGACATACTTTAGGTCTGCACTTGAACAAAATACCCAAGTTGCTTATTCTAGGAGCTACAGATGCCCGACACACTATTCCCGGACCCTGTACAGTACGTTTGTCCGTTCTGTAGCTACGGGGTATCCGTGAGAGGGGAAACGATATTCTCTCGATGCTTTTCTCAAAAAATTAGACGACGCGTCCCATCAATAAAAATTCGACAAATTTGCAAGTAGCCAATAAAATGAGTGGGCGGAGCGATTTGCGTGTGACGTACCCGTCAAGTCGACGTATAAAATATATTGTTGTTTATTTAAATGATTTTTGTCCGCATTCGTTTCATAGACACAGATCCAGCAGACGTACTGTATATTAAAAATAAGAAAACATAATATACAGGGTGATTTTTAACCTATACGCATAAACTTGGGAAATTATTGCTGATGACAAATAATGATTAATAATAAAAAAAAGTAAGTAAAATATTTTTATTTACGGAGATAAGAAACTATTTGAAATAAAAACAAAAAACGTAAATTCCATTAAATTGAATGTGCATTTACATTTACTGATAAAGTTGAAAATTTTTGTGAAAAAAAAAATTATTTCAGAATCTAAAAATATTTTACTAACTTTTTTTTTCATTGTTAGTCATTATTTGTCATCAGCAATAATTTTCCAAGTTTATGCGTATAAGTTAAAAATCACCCTGTATTAACTAAAAAGTTTATGAAAGAATAAAAATCAATAATAAATAAGTTAGTACCTTAAATAAATTAATATCGGTATTGAATTAAATTTAAATAAATTTCATCCTATAAAGGCGATTCCACCGTTCGATCGGTAAAATAATTGTCGAGTGGTACTCGATAGTAAGCTAACAGTAAATCCCATCGTCAGTCTTCTTGGTCTCGGTCATGGTCATTGGTTTCGGGGTCGCTCGAGAAAGCCAGAAGAAAGCGCGAGCGATCAAATATTATTCAGTTACTGTCACCGCCGGCATAAAAGTGCGACAAATCATAAATAAAAATAATTAATAACGTAAATATTCTCAAAACTGATTTGTGATATGTGCCCTTCAAAGATACTACTAGTTATATTTGCGTTTGCGCAGTACGTGACCGCCCAAGACCGTAAGTACATAAGTAACGTTTCTTTTTTTTTAAGTAACGAACATTCGTTTTGGAAAAATCACTTATTATTCACCAAGACGAAATGTTAATTTGTTCTTTTTGTAGCAGTGAGAATGCTGTCTAATAAACAAAAACATGTTTCAATGGAGTATATAAGATCTCCCCTCCTCCATAAGAATAGACACGATGTCACCATATGTGTACAGGGTGTGCCAAATTGGACGCTTTTAAAGGGAAACACCCTTTTCTAGATATTTCTAGGAGATCGACGAAAACTAATATCGGTGTCTAGAGCTCAATTTTGATCAAAAACATGATGGTGAAAACCGCACATTAATATCTGTTACCGTTGCGGAGTTACGGGGTGTTTTTCAAAAATGTATATTTTTAACAAATCGCTGTAGCATTTCCAAAGCACCTTTTTACGTAGAAATTAACGGTTTAAGTATAATTTTTTTAAAATTAATAATTTAAGAATTATCAACACAAATTTTGATTTTTAATATGGGACACCCTGTATATTTTTAATTTATCGAAAATAATTTAAATTACCTTTCCAAAAATATAGCATACTTGATATTTTGCTCGATTCATATTCGAGAAAATTATACTTAAACCATTAAATTCTACGTAAAAAGATGCTTTGGAAATATTTTCATAAAAATACAAAATTTTCTATAGCAAAAAAGTTACAGCGATTTGTTAAAAATGCACATTTTTGAAAAACACCGCGTAACTCCGAAACGGTAACAGATAGCGGTTTTCACCATCACGTTTTTGATAAAAATTGAGCTTCAGACACCGATATTAGTTTTTGTCTATCTTCTAAAAGCGTCCAATTTGACCCACCCTGTACAATAGTCCAAGACGGCTGGGGAACGACAGTAGATGATAATTTTGGCGAGGTCAAGCCCTAGACGTCATTACTCGGCCCGTACTCTTGTTTACTTTTTAATGGCGCTTATACTGCCAATTGGTCTAAGAAGGTTGGAATTTATTTTTATATTGAGTAAACAATATTTTTAAATTGTGTAGTTTAAAATTCGAGAAAAAAAAATTGGAAATAGATTTGAGTGTCTGGAAACGTTCTATCCTTTTTTTAATCTTCCTATAATTTTAATGTTAAGTTTTAAGTCAATTTTTAGTAAATGACTTCTAGAGATTGACCTCGCCAAAATTATTATCGATTGTCATTCCCCAGCCATCTTTAATTTCGATTGTTTTTCGATGGAATGGTATTTGTTTTTAACAGAGGTTTTTAATATGAGCTTTATTTTGACTCTTTTGACTTTTTGACATTTATAGCCAGAGACAGCTGTTAGTGGTCGTCAATTTCGTCAGATATAAAAGACATAACTTCCAAATATTTATTGTTTGAAAACCATTGTCTTCCTTATATTGTATATAGTTTTACCATTTAGAAGACAACCATAGATGAAGGAAACAAGTGTACATTGGAAAGTGCCCATTAAATACTATTTGGCGCTGTTCTTACAACGGTCTCTCTCCAGAAGCTTTAGATAATTTCGGAGCGGTTCGGAGTTTTCCGAAATTATGTCGCCAAATATTATTTATTCAAATTTATTATTTCCTTTTAATTTTTTAAATAAAATAAAGTGTGTTGCATATAAGAAACTTTATTTTATATAAGGACATATGTATGAAATACCTATGAAACATTGGAAACCGACGTTATGCCACGATCCACGATGGTTTTTGCAGTTCACAGTTTACAAGTTTTTAATGCCACTTTTCATAATTATCAAAGGTTTGAGTAAATAAAATTTAAATTAAACTCACAAGATATAGCAATAATTACTTTGAAAATGGACGCTTTAAACATATTTTGGTATTTTTTCAACGAGGGCAGTTTAATTTTTGAAAGATTTTATAACAAAGTTTTATCATTTTTGAAGATTCTGACTTTGACAAGAGAAAATTATTTCTGTTGTTGTTTGGCGGTTGTTCTTAGCAACCGCTATAGCAGCGCCAGATCCCGTGCAACGTATGTACACCAAAAGAATTATTATAAGTTTTGGGGGCAAGCCGAGCATTCCAATCTAAACTTGTTTCCTTTATCTATGAAGACAACTATTCGATCTGTCACTGTCACAGACAAAAGTGTCAGCGGTAGACACAGTAAATATATAATTGAAATGCTATTAATATGTCAGTGTATCAGTACTTAATCGATGACATTCTGTTGAATTGAGTTTATCAAATGATTTATATTCATTATACAGATATTTTGATTTTTGAAGTTGTATTTTTTGTTTCAGTGTCACTAAACCTAGAAAGTTTTGCAAATTAATAGTTTTGAAAAAAATAAACGGCTCTAATACTTTTTTTGTGTTTCTTACATTATGTATAGCAGTGACCATAACAAGATTTTTAAAAGAATTCCTAATGCATGCCAGTATTAAATTTTCTTACTTTATTTTCCGCCAATTGGTAAAAAATCAGGAAAGTGTGAAAATCTCCAACTGAAATCACAATATTATAGACATATTTCAAAGTATTTGAAATAGGAAACCTAAAGCGAAAATATATTTTTCTGGATGTCCTCTCTATTATTTATAATAGTTTAAATTTAGTTATATGATTTCAATCAAGTCAGTTGGATTAGTTTAGGACTCGTTAATTTGTTTGTCTAACCTAGGGTTTCCATACGTCTTTCATACATTTAATTTAATTTCCCAGTTACTTTGTTGAATATTTTAGTCTCTACGATGCTACAGCTCTACTTAACCGACGCATGTTCGAAGGTATCCATTTCTATACTTTGGCCAAAGAGTAGATAAGACAAGAGACGACAGTTCGCGCGGTACCTTTCATGTTTGAGTGGTGGGGAGAGTGACCTCGTCTCGCTTGTCCCTTTAAATTTTCGTAATTTTTTCGCGGGAAATTTGAAATAGACTATTATTAAAACTTGCCTGTATAGCTTATAAATAGTTACTGTATGGGTAAAGAAGTAAATAGAAACTAAAGAAAAAATGAATTTTCTAAATATTATATAAAATAAATTATAATTAGAAACATATTTGTCGGGGAATAAAGATAATAATACCAAGCAATATTTTGTATATCGTTGGTAAACAAGATAAAGTGACCAAGTCGATTTGTAAGAAATGTTTTATTTACGTTTATTTTTTTTTACATATGGACTTGAACAAGTGTAATATCACAATGTGGAGTTTATGTACAAAAAAATAGAGTGGCTCAATTTTTTTTGTAAAAATATATTACAAGCTTCTAACCATGTCTTCGATCTATGGATTACATTTAGTTTAATAACATAATTATATAGTATATTTCTATAAAAATACTTTTCAGGATCCTTTGGAAAAGAGTGAAATATTATGTTTGTCGAAGAATAAGACCTATTTTTGCAGTCTTTATAAGCACACACATTGCCACCATCTCCTCTTTTCCTGCTACTCGTGTCCTGTTCAGTATTCATATTTAACAATAATTACAAATTAGTACGCAACAAAACCGATACTAAAATTAAACCTTAAAAACTCTCAAAACGATAATATATCGAAAAACTCTGAAAACACACTTGAAAAAGGCAAAAATGCAAGAAAACAACTAATCAGATTTGTTTATGTTTAAGCCTGATTAGCACAGCTGATTAGCGTCCTAAAATCATAGGTTAGAATAAATAAAATAGCCGTTGTCAGATTTTCAGATTTTATCTGTTTATCTTTGAAATCGATCAACTTAGTTAGTCATTCTGTTTCTTTGATATTATCAGTACATTGCAAAAAAAGAACCTAAACCAACCTAAACTAAAAATTTACATTTCCGTATTAACATACGTTACTTATATCCTTCTTATATTATTAATTTATTTTCAGAAAATCTTGTTTATTTTTCAAAGAAATATACTTGGCAACAAACAAAATGGGACTTCATGGGACCTTTAAATTTTAATATATCTGCGTCTCTCTCGCGAAATTCGACTTCTTTGTTCTCTGTTCTCTGTCTCTTGTCTTATCTACTCTTTGCTTTGGCCCTCAAATTTTCTGCTTTTGGTCAGTGGCGGCTCGTCAGGGTAGGCAAGGTAAGCGGCGCCTACCCTAAAATTTTGGCAGAATTTAAGCAGTTTGTCAGTAAAAATACTATTAATACACGGAAGTGTGTTATAATAATCAATATTATTTTAATATTTGTGGTCTTGTATATAAAAATATCATCGTGCGGTGCGGTAGCGACGCGACGTAAGTCGGAGTTGTATCGTATTAAGGCGGGGTTTAGGCGAAATCTCCGGTCGCCTTCGCATGAAGTCGTGGAGGCTCGGTAGGCTAAGAAGTTAAGGGGATACTCCGGATATTTTATAAGGGGATATATCACATTTCGTTAAGGGGATATTTCATATAATTCATTATTCACATAGCATTTAAATTTTTATATGAAATTTCAAAAAACGTTTAAAACAAATTGGAAACGTTATTCAAAATTATATTAACCGGTTGTATTTCAGAACATACCACAGAAATAAAAGAATCCGAAATAAAAGAGCGCGTTATTCGGTGCAAGAAGACGATACAACAGATATTAAAGAAAAGTCTCAGTGTGCTAATAAATTCGACATGTTAATAAATGTTGCCTATTTTATGAAATATTAGATAAGATTGTTATACATTAGAAATAAGGTTTGCAGATAGGTACTCGTATGTCTCAATTATTTTTATTTATCCTAATAAATCCGAAATTTAAAGAATCCTATAAAAAATTTCCAAAGCATTTAATATCTGATTTATCAAACTTGTTATATTGATACATTTCCAACGCATTTAATATTGATTTAACAAAAATAAAATGTTAATGCCCAACATAAATTAATGAATAAATTGCAGGTATTAATTAATAATAGCTGTGATAATTTCGATTATAAACGAATTTAAGGAGAATAATCCTGGAAATATATTTCCAGAGGCTTTCAAATTGTTGGTTTTGATTGTTACTACACCATTTACAATTACTTGGGTTGAGAGACATTTTTGATGTTTGAAATGCATTATAATTTATAGTAGAGATTCCATGAAAAATAAACGTTTATCGCCACTTGCCTTACTTTCAATCTAAAAAGATCTTTTCACAGCTCTTCAACAATCTGATGATTTTACTGATATAATATTAAATAACTTTTCTTTATCAAGAGACCGACTCATCAATTTAATATATAAAACATAATTGTTCTTTTTCTCAATACTACCAATTTTATTAGTTTGCGTAAATAAATAAAATAAAATTCTATGATGTACTCCATAGTAACTCCATAGTAATAGATAAACAAACATATACTTGTACATTATGTCAATCATTATGTCATTACGTTGAATGCTGTCACTTTTGCTTTAGTTTTGTCCTAAATATCCTTGAGCTATGTTTTTAATCCAGAGATAACATATATTTACAAACTGCGTTAGGGTATTATGTAAATTTAAAAATTTAAAATACGCAACTAAAATTTTGTCGCCTACCCAGTCACACGAGTCACGAGCCGCCACTGCTTTTGGTGTACTCCTGGAAAATGAATATTATTTTGGTTTATATTTTGTTGATTACGGAACTATTATTCGGCGTCCTTTAAAAGTTCATAAATGAATTTATAGTTTCTTTTTTGCGACGCGACGTCCGGATTTTGTCTGGATTTCAGAGTTCATTTGTCCGGATTTCTGAGTTCACTTTTCCGGAACTTCCAAAAGCCTTTATGAAAACCCTAGTCTAGCCCCACAATGGTGTCCAATAATGCAGTGCCGAGATCAAGAGTCCGAAACCAATTCAATTGATTTTAAAAATAGTATATAATTTATTCTTAGAATGGCTAGTAGAGTTATAGCCCTCTTGAGTGCGCCAATTATCATCAAAAAATTATTAAATCTATCATTATTTCATTCTGTTTTAGCTTTTTATTATATTAAACAATGTTCGGCAAACGATCCCGAGATAAACGAATGTTTACGCGAATCAACCAATTACCTCATAGCTAATATGAGAAGGGGAATACCGGAATTAAACCTAAATAACCCCGAACCGATCATAATAGATCAAATACAACTGGCGTTAGGAACCGGGCCTGATGGATATAGAGCGATATTTAAGGATATTGAGGCATATGGAGTCAGTAACTGTTCCGTGACAGCAGTTAGGTAGGTTCAATTTTATATACAGGGTGTCCCAGGCTGAGCGTGCATTAGAAGTTTCTAGTGAACCACAATACCTAGATCGGAGATTTTTTGCATATTATTGTTCTACAACGAGATCTATCGATTAAAAGTATTTTCAATAAGCCTAACATAACCTAACCTAAACCTAGGATTTACCAAGCTAAATAGGTTAGCCTGGTTATTTGGAGGGTGTTAATGCATTGGTTAGCCTGGTTATTTGGAGGGTGTTAATGCATTGGTTAGCCCGGTTATTTGGGGGGTGTTAATGCATTGGTTAGTCTGGTTATTTGGGGGGTGTTAATGCATTGGTTAGGTGGCTATTTGGTGGTGTTGGTTGGTTTTTACTACCATTTGCTTATTTGTATTTTTACCAATGCGGTGTGGTAAATCCTAAGATTTACTGTTTGGGTTCGGTAAAAGTCCGAAATGGAAGCAAAATAAATAGTTTTCGGGCTTTTACCACATGCTTTTGGGAAATCCTAGGCTTAGCGCGCTTATCCTAGGTTTTACCGCATTTCGGATATTTACAGTAACATATACATTTTTTTTCAGGTCTGATATTGCAACCAATCAGTTCCAGTTTACCTTATATATACCAAAGATTTCAGCACGTGCAATTTATGAGTCTAGTGGAGTATTAATTCTAGTTCAGGCATCTGGAGGAGGCAACTATTGGGGAGAATATGGTGAGCACCGCTTATTATTTTTTGGCATTATTCAGGGTCGCTTTTAATATGTTTGAGGCCATGAACCCATTAGAGCAATGGTACCTCTATGTCTGACAGATGTCTGAGAAGATATATTTTAAAAAATGTCTATACCTATGTGGCGGATTTCCAAAAAAATCCTTAATGGGTATTTCGCCACTGTTTTTTGTAAACGCTTCTGCGTTAAACCTAAACGGACGCTGCTTGTCAGAAGTTATGTTTATGGTAATACAAATTTGCCTAACACAGAAAAAAAAATGCTTAACTTTTCGGAAAGTTATCTCTTTCCATCTTCGGAAGCAAACAAATACAAAGAATAAAGAAAAAAACTATTTAAAATGTTTAAATTCAACTATTTGAGAACACTTTACTTTTTTAAAACAGATACGTCTACAAGAAACAGCTCTGTTCAAACAGCGTCCGTTTAGGTTTAACGCAGGTTTAAGTGTTTACAAAAAATAATTATTTTATTTTGTAGATTTTCTTGCAGTGCAGTGGCGAAATACCCATAAAGGATTTTTTTGGAGAGATATATTTTAAACAAGCAAAAACATTCGATAAGCAAAATTTTAGATATTGTGACTCATATAAAAATTAAATTTATCCTCAAAGTTTTAGTATTGGTATTATGTCACTAGATATGGTAAGACCAGCTTTGGTAAATTATCTGGATCTTGTATAAAAATTATGATCTTCTTAAAAACTCCCATGGTCACTAACTAACAAAAGGCTAGACTGGAAGAATCTGCTTACTGTGACATGGCTTGATAGTGATGAGCAAGACTGGTTTTGGAGTCTTGGACCAAGACCAAGACTACCGTTAGATCTGCAAGACCAAGATGCTTTTTTCTTTCGCGTTTATTGCTATAAGAAATTAATTATTTCTTCAAAATTATTGTTTTAATTTATTACAAATAGTAGTTTTTCGACTACTGAATAAAATTGAAAAAAAAATACTGATAAAAATTAAAAATAATTTTTTTTGTCTGATAAATATAATCATTTTATTCTTTAAAGTTTTATTTGCATTGACTCTAGTAAAAACTTGTACTATGGTAAGAACCTATTGAAACAATGCAATACTTGCAAGTAAATAAATTTTGTACTTCATTAACTTATGAAAACAGCAAAGAATATGACGTTAATCAAAATTACTAATAAACATATATATCAAAGAATGAAAACCTAAATGTCACGAGAATGCAAGAATGCATTTTTTTGAAAATGTTAATAATAAAAAAATGCTTTCTCTTGTAAAGACGACCCGGGGACATACTGTTCAATTTTCGAAAACCGCAAAAAGGAAATAAAAAATTGTAGTATGTTTGTCGTTCTGTTTGTTATGTTGTTTAGCTTTATATACAGGGTTGATTATATGCAAACGGAAAGATGTCGAAACAAAATATTTTATGTACAGGGTATGTCAGAACTAAGATATATAAAAGTTATATTTTTTGGTACACCCGGTATTTTATTTCATATTTGGATCCTTTGACACAAAATAAGGCATTTGTTATAAGGGTTAAATATGTTTACAAACTTTGTTTTTTGAGATATTTAAAGATATTTAAATATGCATGCTATAATAAAAAATATTAACACCCTGTACATTGCTTTTCAGAATTAAATTTTGTGCTGAATTTTAAGCCAAAGAAATAAACTTTACTGAAAAATTTGATTGCTTTGTTTAATATATACAGGGGTATCAAAAATTGCTGGTCTATTTTAAATATTTATTTTACATAAAAACTAAGTTATTTCAAATACAATACCCTGTATTTTTTTAAATAAATCGAAGCAGATTCAAATGCTCTTTCAAATTATATTAGGGTTTCCTATACCTATCTAGTTCAGATTTTGAATAAAGAGTAATTTTTCAATAAAGTGACAACAAAGAGGGGTGGTAGATGCTAAAGGTAGATGTCATCATGGCAAGTTTTTAGTGAAAGAAGCTATTTTCAAAATTTAAATTAGTTTCTGGACTTTATTTAAATTTATAGCTGTTTTCTTTTATTTAATTTACCTACAATAATTTAATAAATAATATTTATTAAATATGTATTTTTAGCCCCTTTTTCTGCTTCTTGTATGTTGTTTGTAAATATGTATTACCTTATCAAGAAAAACGAAGAATTAGTTCTTTGTTTTATATTATCATGACTTATTAGATTTCCTTGTTTGGATTTTCTATAAAAGACCCAATCATGGCAAATTCATATTCTTCACATCTAACGACAGGTTTCTACCTAATAGGTTTTTTTATAAATTACACTACCAGATTTGCGTAGTTAAGACAATAAGACAAGTAGTTTTTCAAAGACACCCTTATCAGGAAGATTCCTATTTGAATATCTCTAAGCCCTTGAGGCCGAGAAGCAATTTTCCTCACAAAATAAAATCACTAGTAACATAAATTCATTCGCTCGCCGCGCCAGCATATATACTGCATTATTTTTCTTGATAAAATATAACGAGTACTTACTTAATAAACTATTGTAGGTAAATTTAAGTAAACTGTTATAAATCTAAATAATAATGTCCATAGACTAATGTCGATTTTAAAAATAGTTACTAACTGTCACTAGAAAATTGCCATGGCAATATCAGCCATCTTGATCGCCATTTTATTGAAAAATCGCTTTTTATTCAAAACCTGAGCTGCAACAGGTATAGGAAACTCTAATATAATTTAGAAGAGCACTTAAATCTGCCTCGATTTATTTAAATAATACAGGGTGTTGCAATTGAAAATACAAAGTTTTTATGCAAAATAAATATTTAAAATAGATCAGCAATTTTTGGTACCCCTTGGTATAGATTTAAGGTAGCAATACAATTTTTCGTTAAAGTTTATTTCTTTACCTTTAAACTCAGCACAAGAATTAAATCTGAAAAGTAATGTACAGGGTGTTGATAATCTTTTCTATTGTGTAGCATGCATATCAAAATATCTTTAAATATCTCAAAAACCAAAGATTTTAAACATATTTAACCCTTATAATAAATACCTTTTTTTGGGCCCAAGAAACCAAAAATGAAATAAACTACCGAGTGTTCCATAAGAAAAATATATATAACTTTGGTATGGATCCTAGTTCTGAAACACTCTGTATATTTCAAAATAACTTGTTTATTGCCAATGCACAATTGTGCACATTGCCTCTCCAGATATACCCATAAAATTTTTGTTTCTACATCTTTCCATTTTCGTATAATCAGCCGAGGCGAATGAGGTGCGCCACCCTGTATATTAGAGCGGCCGAAGAATGCTCTTTTCCATCGTTTTGGCGCGAGATCCTTAATATCTCAGCGACACAATTCGACATCGCCGAGTCAAATTGTTAAAGTTATGTTTGTCGTTTCGTTGGAGAACAAACCTCTGGACAGCTCACTTGATGAAGTGTAGACCCAGAAATCGGTCGTGAGAGTTGGAGTTGTTTCCCCCCCTTAACGACAAACAACATTTTTTTCCTTTTTTTCAATTATCGAAAATTGAAAAGTATAGCAGCTCAAGGCAAGAATTTTGTATTTAGTAATTTATATTCAATTTTATAGAGGGTGTCAAAGTGAAGGCTTATATTCGAGCAAGCAGAACTCCAGGCGATGACGGACTCAGCTACTTAAATCTTCAACAGTTAAAAATGGACTTTAGCGTAAAGGATATCAAAATGGGCGTTGACGGAATTCATAATGGCAATGCGGTACTCCGTAAGTTTAATCATAACATTTTAGAGTGTTTATAATACATTTTATTTCTGTATTTCAGAAGCCGCGTTAAACTTGTTCATCAACAGCAACTCTCAGGAATTATTAAAAGAAATGAAACCCCATTTAAAGAAAAAGCTAATCGTTTTGATGAGCGAATTCGTATCGAACCTATTCGAAAACGTTCCTTATGAAGCATTCTTGACTGACCAGTAACTTTAATTTACCATTAATTTATAAGTATTTATTTCTTAGTTAATTAGTTAAATATAGATTCTTCTCTGCAACTGGCCTTTTGATTTTCTTGTCCGATTCTAGAAAATTAGGTAAGACTGAAAGGTAAATTATATACAATAAAACATAATTTTGTAAAGTACCGCAATCACTCATGCGACTATACATATATTGTCGCAGGATGTGTCCTACAAAATTGACAATAATTATCACGTTAATTACGTTGAGCTATATAAAAGATTCTCCGATAGATGCCCCATATTTTATTGTGAAATATTGAAGATGTTACTGTCACTTTTAGTAACACTTGTTGGTTTCTACTTTGTTTGTTCTGAAAATACACTACGTAAGTACTATTATTTCTACTTTTTATCTAGGTGAAACTTTCAGTAGTTTATATAAATATTTATAAGCATAAAACTCCATACAACCATCAAAACCTACCGCAGATGGACAGTTTCAAAAAGCTTTAATACATATTTCTTTGTGCACATTTCTTAACAATTCTGTTTTCTTTTATTCTATTTGCCACTGACTTCATTTTACAATTTCCAAAGTTCTCAGATGTTGTTTTAGTTGTGGTGAACACTTTCTTACTTTTATTGACGATATTTCCACATCTTAACAGTTTGTGACTTAATAGTTGTGGTAAAATATCCCAATTAGCAAAATCCTATATCCTAAAACAATTCTTCAATGTTAGCATTACTTTTCCAGCATCTTCTGTTTTAGTACTAAAATGGAAACTAGTCTCAATCTCCTCTCAAGTCCCTTTTCAAAATTTCACTTTCTTTCTTCTTATTACTGGGTGGGCAACTAAGAATGGACGCTGTATCAAGAATGTCGAGATATATACAGGGTGTCATTGAAATGGTGTAAAAAAATTGGGGGGTGATAGTACTCCTAAAAATAGTAAAAAAAGTTCCTATAAGTATAGGGCAGAAAATACATATTAAGGAAGTTAGGGGCACTGAAAGGGTGAATATAAAAAACGGTTGTCTTAAAATTGTAGGCTTAAAAAACGAGATAAAATTTCGAAAAAAAATCCTCTGCCATAAATTTTGACCCTAAATCAAATGGTGGTACTGAAAAATTATTTGGAAAAGCGGAAAGGGTAGTTTTTGCAAGGGAAGGGGGCTGTTTCGTGAATAACATTTTTGAGGTTATTTTTTTTTTGTAACGTGGGTTACCATTTTTTGAGAACTACATACTTTTTCCTATAAAAAAGATACTCTTGTTGCATATCGCCCAGAGCGATGGTTTTCGAGAAAATTATTGAAGAAAAATTATTGGTTCAAAAGTAACCAAGTAGTTATCAAATAATTAATTGAAAAATCAAAATTTCATAATTTTTAAAACATTTTATTGCTTTAAAAAACGAAATAATCCAATTACCAAAATTCCTTATTAAAATAATGCATTCCTTAATTCATTCATAGTAAATGTTCAAAGTGACCACCATCCATTTCAATGTAGACATCTAATCTTCTTCTTCACGTTCTGCATAGGTACCCTGTGGAATATCCTTGGTGTTGTCCGAATTTGATTGGACCAGTCAATAATGCGTTGCCGTAGTTGCTCTTCACTATTAATCGCCACTGAGTAAACCATTTTTTTAAAACCAAAAAAGTTTATTTCGTTTTTAAAGCAATAAGATGTTTTAAAAATCATGAAATTTTTATTTTCCAATTAATTATTTAATAACTACTTGGTTACTTTTGAACCGCCATAACTTTCATAAGTTTTGTGTTGATTAACTAGTTAGAGCAATCTTTTTGCTTTCAATTTTCTCGAAAACCATCGCTCTGGGCGATGTGCAACAAGAGTACCTTTTTTGTAGGAAAAAGTATGTAGTTTTCAAAAAATGAACCCACGTTGCAAAAAAAATAATTTCAAAAAAATTATTCACGAAACAACCCCCTACCCTTGCAAAAACTACCCTTTCCGCTTTTTCAAATAATTTTTCAGTATCATCGTTTGATTTAGGGTCAAAATGTATGGCAGAGGACTTTTCTTCGAAGTTTTATCTCGTTTTTTAAGCATACAATTTCAAAACAACCGTTTTTTAAATTCACCCTTTCAGTGCCCCTAACTCCCTTAATATGCATTTTCGGCCCTATACTTATAGGAACTTTTTTTAGTATTTTTAGGAGTACTATAACCCCCCGAATTTTTTTACACCATTTTAATGACACCCTGTATAGGGTGGTGACAATTTCGATGCTCAACATTGGCAACTCAGAAACTATATTCGAGAGATACGAATTCGATTAAATGGGACAAAAGTTGCGTAATTAGATGTTTGACAAACACCTATGAAGAACACCTCGGTATCTTGATTAGTTTCGGATTTATGTAAAAAAAATGAAAATAATTCGTTTATTTTAAATGACAATATCTTCAGAACTATCGTATCTATTGCAACGTAAGTTGGTAGTTTTATATTTTTGATCCCGGCCAATTAAATGCCGTTTTCAGAAAATTTCTAAGCCTAGATTTCGCACAACAACAGTCAAGTTTTTGTTTTCTTATGACCGCCATTTTTAATTTTAATACTATTAGATAGAGCAAAAATAATCTATACAGGCAATATTAGGATTAATGATATTAATGTGCCAGCTCAGATTGAAATAAATCCAGAAACTTCTAGCCGTAAAATAAGTGGCTATATAGTGTTGTATAAGTGACTTTTATGTAGGGAAAATGATCAAAAAACATAAATATCAGAACTTTAAATTTAAATGTGTACCAAATTTATATTTTTTTACATGCTGGTGATCACGAGAGACGGTTACAATTTTGCAAATGGTTTCGGGAAAGCGTTCAAGACCCTTTATCTAGAAAAATATTGTGGACGGATGAATCTTTATTTACAAATTCTGGTACATCTAACAGAAAAAAATCACATTATTATGTAAAAGAAAATCCTCATTTAATTAAAGAAACCAGACCACAAATAAGATATTCTTTGAACGTCTGGGCTGGCATTCTTCACAATAAAATTTTAGGTTTTGTATTGACCTGTATTGAACTCTACTATACAATTTTTATGCGTCCAGTATAAAAATTCAAAATGGCGGCCATAAGAAAACAAAAACTTGACTCTTGTTGTGCGAAATCTAGAAGGCTTAGAAATTTTCTGAAAACGGCATTTAATTGGCCAAGGTCAAAAATATAAAATTACCAACTTACGTTGCAATAGATACAAGATGCCAATGTTGAGCATCGAAATTGTCACCACTCTGTATAACTACATCTGTTACAACAGACAACAGGATGTAATTCTGGCTATTTACCAACCAAGCGAAGGCAGACTATCCCCTTTCAAAATGACTATGTTGTCAGGCTCATATAATAGCGGAAAAGCTCCCACATATTGGGGTACAGGGTACGCTCTCTGCGTGGTTCGATCAATATTATTAAATGGAATAAAATTGGATATATGTTTATTTTAAATCTATAAAAACGTTTATAAAACATCACCATGATAAATTAAAGATGATTCTCAAAAATGCAACGTTGTTTAAATCAATTTAGCCTTTATCCATGCCTCCATTGTTGTAATAATTTAACTATTTTTTATAATTCACCAAAACAATTAGCTTTCTGATCGACTTTCCGGAACTCAAAAATTTCAGCCATTGTTTTGATTTTTTTGTATTGTCATTCTAAATAAGTAAATGGAAATGCCTTTAATTTTTCGAAGTATTGCAGTTTTTTAATTGCATAAAATATTAACAAACAAATCATAAAATAGATATGACTTTATATTTTGTGGTTCTTTATTAAGTAGTTCTCTCTTCTCTAGGTACGTATAGTAATAATTATTATGCGGAAAAAATATTTATGATTCTTTCAGTTATAATTATTATAACTGAAAGAAGCATAAACATTTGATGCATTAATACCACAGAATAATACTATACTAATTTGATGTAGATCTCTTAACTGGTGCTTATGTTATAGGCACCAGTAATATTAAGCTATATTTCTTGTAAATTAATAGTTTATTTGTCTCAAATTTACTAAAAAATAGATTTGTGACCAAATCATAATATGTTCTTAGATACATTTTTACTGGATACTAGACGATTAAATTGAATAGATTTAACGAAAATAACAGATTAACAAAAAAAAAAAGAAAATCATTATAATAAAAATAAACTATAAATAAAATAAAAATATTTAATATAATACCGTATTTATAAAATATAATTTCTATGTATGAAAGACAAAATAATATTTAAAATTGTTAATATCAGATTTACTTTGATATAGTCTGTCCAACAAGAGGATGCTTGACAGTGACAGTTGCGTCTTGCGTCTGATATTTTAATTCTTACCTAAATTTTTTTTTTTTGGATGTTGTCTGTCGAAATATTCACTGACACGTTGAACATACTACAAAATCCTACATGCTATATGCTATATTATTGGTATAACTAACTGATTCTACTGAAAGTGTATTTGAAAATGTGGATAATATTGTTACGAATGCTTCTTGCCTAATAAGTAAGCGTTTAAGTTTTACCTGCTTTTTGGAAATAAGGTCTATATTATGTAGCAAAGTATCAGATTCATCCGTTGCGAGGTCGGAAAACAAGAAAATATACGTACAATTCAACGGAGTTCATCTAAGGCGTCATTCAAAGTACTTTTCATAACTAGATCTCATTATGGAAGCACTGACTGGTACAATACAAAATTAGAAGTAATATTTTTGCTAAAAAAATCATTCAGCAAAAAAAACTATGACTGAACCTGTCTGGTGGATAGGAATTTGGTCAAGCTCTAAAATACGTACCTATGCTGGCCATAGACAATCTAAATTTACCATCGTAAAGAGCCGCAACCTAAAGAACCTTTAGTACTACTTATGGATTTTTCCATCGGCCAAGAGGAAACAAACTTACCGTGGAAAGGGCCAGAAATTTACTTATATTGCCTATAAATATAATTTACTAAATGGAGAAAAACATCCAAGAATGGTAGAGGCCGCTAAGAAAGAAATGAAAGAAGATATGCATACGTTAGGCAGTCTTAGGCTGTCTAGGCAGTGTTAGCGCCTCTTCTATTCAATATATTCATGGCAGCACTCTCTATTATAGTGGACAGCAAACTGCAGGAGAGAGGTTTCGGCGTTAGATACAGATACATGGATTAGATACAGACACGACGGCGGTCTGTTCAACATAAACAGACTCAAAGCAAAGAGACGTACAAAATTCATCACAGAACTTCAATACGCTGATGACTGTGCTCTAGTTGCAAATACGTTACAGCAATTGCAAGAAATGTTGAACACATATGCATGGGCATGCGAAGCTTTGGGACTTAAGTTGAGCA